AAACTATGCATAACTATTTAAATATATTTACACATGTCTTGTGTGTATATCGTATATATACATATATATTATTCACACCTTCGGTGTATAGGACCCAAGCGGATTTTGCCATCAAATTTTGGGGTAAAAAAAAAGTGTGTCTTATACATCTAAAAATACAGTACGTATACGACATTTTTTGAATATACACATTTCATCTTCAGCAAGTTACTACACTAAACACAAAACAATAATTGCCATTAAACACTTGAATCTCATGAACTACAGTAAACAACTATACGTAGAGGAAATTGTAAAAGCGAGTGAGAAAAACTAGGAACAATTTTTAAAAGTACTCGTATAGCCAGTGTAGGTAGCATTGGAACTACCACACATTCCAGCCTCACTTCATTCATGGGTCATTTACTCGTATACGTGTGGTAGCTCCAATGGTGCGTACACTGGCAAAATCAAATACAATTTAACTGTATGTATCTATGAATACATGGAGATTTCGTTAGGAACCAGCCACTCCTTATCGTGTACATGTATCTGTTTTATCCACACACACAAAGTTAGAATACTGAACACAAAATATCCTCGACTGACTTTAATGTTTTAGCCATGAGCCTCAAAGACTTGGAACTGCTCATTAAAGGAAGTCTACTTATTAAACAAAACCTCCCCTGCTTCAGTAATAACTTCTGTTGAGTTAAGACTGCTCTAATTAATTCTTTCTCATCAGCTATATAGATACTTTTGCTAATTCATTTAGTGAGTCTATATTTTCTGAGTTTTACTAAGTTGCTTTTACAATATTTATAGTTGTCCGTGCTGTGACACATGTATGACAAGATTGTTTTCAAATTGAGTCCATGTTTAAACAATGCTGTGACTTGTGTATGACAAGATTGTTTTCAAATTGAGTCCATGTTTAAACAGTGCTGTGACTTGTGTATGACAAGATTGTTTTCAAATTGAGTCCATGTTTTAAACAATGATGTGACTTGTGTATGACAAGATTGTTTTTAAATTGAGTCCATGTTTAAACAATGCTGTGACTTGTGTATGACAAGATTGTTTTCAAATTGAGTCCATGTTTAAACAATGCTGTGACACATGTATGACGAAATTGTTTTCAAATTGAGTCCATGTTTAAACAGTGCTGTGACTTGTATATAACAAGATTGTTTTCAAATTGAGTCCATGTTTAAACAATGCTGTGACTTGTGTATGACAAGATTGTTTTCAAATTGAGTCCATGTTTAAACAGTGCTGTGACTTGTGTATGACAAGATTATTTTCAAATTGAGTCCATGTTTAAACAGTGCTGTGACACATGTATGACAAGATTGTTTTCAAATTGAATCCATGTTTAAACAGTGCTGTGACTTGTGTATGACAAGATTGTTTTCAAATTGAGTCCATGTTTAAACAATGCTGTGACTTTTGTATGACTAGATTGTTGACAGACTGAATCCATGTTTAAACAATGCTGTGACTTGTGTATGACAAGATTGTTTTCAAATTGAGTCCATGTTTAAACAATGCTGTGACTTTTGTATGCCTAGATTGTTGGCAGACTGAATCCATGTTTAAACAGTGCTGTGACTTGTGTATGTCTAGATTGTTGGCAGACTGAATCCATGTTAGATGCTAGATGAAGTAATGGCAGTGTAGTCTTGCAGTTAGGTTGACATTATCCAACTGAACCCTTTAATGAGAAGCTGATCATCTACCGTTGAACGTGTGGCAGTTTTAACATACGCGAAGAGGTAGTTGCAATAATTTGATATTGTAAACTTTATGTGTTAAGTTAAAAGATAAAGTTACAGTTAATCATCTGATACCTAATATATTTGTAAGGAGTATTAATGTTATGCCTGAAGCAGCATGTTTCATGTTTCAGATCATGATGTCCTCTGGGAGAGATGGATTGCACCAGTTTCTGTGTCACTACTGTAATCGATCTCTCTCGTCCAAGTCTACGCTTCAGAGACACATGAAAACGTGCCAATTGAAAAATGTGTCACTTCAAGAAGATCCGGGCAGGACAACTCCTGACACCAAGAACTTCATGCTTCCCCCCATCCCGTCCCAACTGACAGTGATTTTCCACCAAGAGAAAAAGAATAGCAGACACGAAGAGCCCCAGATTACTCTGAAGAAGATTTTAGGACCTGGGTCAAAAGATTCTTCTTCTTCTCAAGAAGGTGAAGAACTTCTGAATCAAAATTGGCAAACACCAACTATGAGTGGATCTATAGGTGGATGTAATGTTTCAAAACAAACTCTGCACCATTGTCCATTTTGTGAAGAGACTTTTTCCAGCTTTTCTCACTGCCAAGCCCACATAATGAACTTGCACAAAAATGAATGTGATACAGAACTAGTTGAACGCACTTGTAGCGTATGTCGTATGGTTTTTTCAAATAAAGAAGAGACAAGAGAGCATGTTCTTACAAACCACGGAGATGTTAAACCTGTTTCTCAAAAGAATTCTAGTTCTTCAGATGGTTGTTCAACTTTAGCAGAAGAAGATTTCACCCCAAACCAGCCAAAAGAAGAGTTTAACAGTTCTGGAGACTCTTTTGTAGATTGTCAGTTAGCAGTAATTAAGACAGAACCAGAAGATTTAGACAGTTCTCCAGAAATGGATTTGGTTCAGAATGAAGATCTAAGGGATTTTCAGCTTGATATAGCATCCAATCTTTCATCCAGAGGGACATTGATGGAAGAAACAAGTAATTCTCTCTTGACCTCTTCAGAACATGGCCAGTCTGAAACATGTACTAATGCAGCAACTGCACACGGACCTTCTGTTCAGCCATCGCATGTCAGTTGTGATGAAGCCAGTTCCGTTTCTAGTAGGTTCACTGATGTGGGTACAGTTCCATTGAAAAAGGAAGATGCCAATTCTGTACAGTTGTCACAAATTACTTGTTCAGAACCTGGTTCCATTTCTGACAGATTCACTGATGTAGGTTCAGTTCCCATTAAAAAAGAACCAGGTACAGTAGGAATTTGTCAAACTTACAACAAGCCACTTGTTGTCCATTTACTCTCCCATGAAGGTCCTGCTCCAGAAGTTAACCACGAAGTAAAGTCTGCTAGTTACACGTCTCCTGAAAACAAAGCAGCTACTATTTCTCATGAAAATGGACAGTTCATTCAAGAAACTGGAGGTATAGCTAAGTCTCTTTCTTCTGGACAGGTTGTTTCTTGTCCATTAAAAAGGGTGTCATCATCACAAGGAGTTGTGGCCATGTCTGTGCATTCTTTAAATAATGCTCCAACAGAACCTGTATTCTCAGGACCTGATAATCATGGACAACAGTCAGCTCAGAGTTTTCTGTGTTTTACTAGTAAAGAACTAGGTCAAGTCCCTTCTTCTAAATCTCAAGACACCACGACTCCAGGGCCTTCTCCTAAAAGTAAACCAGTTCCAAAAAAGCCATTACTTACTTGTGAAGTATGTAGCAAAACCTATCGCTGTCGTAGTAGCTTCAAAAAGCATGTGAATGCACATGTAGCTGCTTCATCACTTGTGTGTAAATACTGTGGCCAAACTTTCCAGCAAAAAGATGTATTCTTTACTCACATGAGGTTACATGAACAAAATGCATTGACTCAACCACAAGGAGGTGCACTAAATCTTCCACCAGGTGGACCTAATGAGTCTAATTTTCAGACTTCTCTGCCATCTGGTCAAACTGGTTCATTTACTTGGGACACGAAACAAGTAAAACCAGGGATAGAGGGCTCAAATAACATCTTAACCCAGTTTAGCATACCATTGTCTACGATGCATTTATCCGAAGATCAGATTCCAGTGGGCACAAAAGAGAAGCAAAAACAAGTTAGGAAAAGAAAAATGAAACAAGATTGTCAAGTAGAATCTGACTGGATGGGATCACCCAATTACAAGAGACTTGGTCCAAACAGTTTGAACCCATGGGCCCAGAACCAGTTCTCTAGTGAGCGTGATATTGATGGAGTTGTAGCATCACGAGAAGTTTGGAACAGTGTCAAATTTAAAGATTTAAAGGCTTTTGCAGGTCATCAGAGACTTGGTTCGAGAATAAAAACTTCTGTTAATCACTTTGGCACTAAAAAAGGAGAAAGAAATGTGCCACCAGAACTGAAATCTATTCAATCGGCCATTGTTTTGAAAAAAGATATAGATTTAGACCAGCCTTCTGTTTTGAAGACAAACAAGGTGTCAAAATGTTTAATTTGCAGAATTTGTTGTCGCACATTTTCAAAAATTGAAAACTATGTAAGACATAGGAAATTACATGAATATCGTTGTCTAGCATATTCTTGTCAATACTGTGGACAGTTTTTTGGTAAAGTAGATTTGTTAGACCTTCATGAACGGAGGCATCATGAATTAATGGGAGGTACTCAGACATATTGCTGTGTTTATTGTGACCTGTTTTTGAGAGATAAAAGTATTTTAAAACAACATGTGTCTGAGACACACAGAGGTTTTAGAGTACTTCTCTCATCAACTAGAAAACCAGACTTAGGTTTGTCAAAAACATTTTGGAACTTACCCAAAAAATTAGCAACTCTAAAACACAACATGAATGAACTTTCATGTGCGATAGAAACATCAGTGCTTCAAGACATTTTGAATAAACGAACACGCCAGTGTTACCACTGTCTGAAAAGATTTAGAAATGAGGAAGCAATGTCCCGTCACGTGTGTGTGAAACCTCCTAGCCTTCAGCAGCACAGTCAAGGAAATTTTTACTGTGATGTCTGTCAGCAGTTTTTTGCTTCTCCAGATCAGTTGGAGAAGCACATTGAGTTTCAGCACATCAAAGTTGAGCTGTACAGATGTGAAGTATGTGGTGTTTGGGGCCGTAAAGAGGAGATAGAGCATCATATGCTTTCTCATATGAGTAAAATGGGGAGTTTTATCAGCACGGAACAGAATAATGCCCACGTGGCTAGTAATTTTCTTCCTCCGGCTGCAAATTCAACGAAGAGTAGCAAACCAACATTTACATCTTCTGGGAAGAAAAGATGTTCTGGTGTTTTTCAGGAGAAAGAACAACAAGAATGTTACTTGAATGTCTCATCAACACCAAAAAAGGGTAAAGCAAAAGTCAAACATTCTCAGGCAATAAAGAAAGGTAAATTACATGAGGAATTTCTACATCATACTGACTGTTCGCAAGAGCCTGATGTCAATCCAGTGATACCTTATCGTACAAATCTCAACCAAACTCTCCAAAAGAAGTTATTAATCAACAACAACCCGAGACAACTTGTTGAGGACACTCAGAGCAAAAGCAGAATTAGATTGTTAAACAACAATAAAAACATCCTAGGTACAGTTAGCCAGAAAAACATTTTGCTTGAAAATTATTTAACAAGTCATCAGAATGAATTGTCCGGTAAATGTAGGATAACGGGTGTTCAGAATAAAGATGCCAAAAGGGAGGTGTTACCTAATCTCAGCGGTCAAATAGAAATTGTAGAAGTGAACAAGTTTAACGAGAGGGCTAGATTAGCCACCATTGATAAACAAAAGGAAGGTATTAACAAAAACAGGTTGAATAGCAATCCAAGTGAAACAACCAGTAAAGGTAATTTACCTACCCATAACAACCAAAGTAATAGAACTGGGTCATTTATTTATAACAACTCAGGTGAAAATCCAGAGGAAAACCAGCAGAGCGAAGGTGTCGAGAAGAACAGATTGTCATGTCAGAATGTACAAAATGACAAAAACAGGAACGAACACTCCGACAGAAGCTTGACAAATGAAAACATCGATAGGTCTAGGTCATCTAACTTTTGTAACCCAAATGAGAACCCCGATGACAGCCAGGATGATGCTTTGCTTAAGAGTAGCAAACAGAGTGAGAATATGGACAGAACTAAGGTTCATAATCCTCACACCCACAGTGAACTTGTTAACAGAAGTAGGACATCCAGTTTAAGTAATCAAAATGAACAGTTAGATAAAAACAATTTATCTAAGTCTCTTAACCAACATGACAAGATGGAGAAAAATAGACTGTCGACCATCAACAGTGAAATAGAAATTTTTGATGTGAGTAAACTAGAGAAAAGAGGAAGCCATGTGGGAATATTAGAAATGAGTAGATTACCAGGAAAAGTAAGCCAGGTTGAAAATAGCTGTCCATCTAGTGGCAGTAGTCATAGTGACAACTCAGATAAAAAAATAAACAACCAGGATGAAACTGTTGATATTAGTCAGTTACCTAATGCTGCAAGGAATGACAGTAACAAGTTAACGTACCATAATAAAAATGACACGAGAAGGCTGTCTAACCAGGGGGAAAACATGGATCGAAGTGCAGAGTACTGCATTGCTTGTGAAATGTTTATACCATCGCACCTGTTCCAAAACCATCTGTTAAAAAAACATTTAGATGGAGGGGAACGGTCCGATTTTCTTTTTGACTTCCAATCTCTGCCCGATAATGAATGGGCAACAGAGGAAGACCTTGAACAGTACGATGATCTTGGTCTCGATGATGATTTTGAAGATAACTTAGAAAACTACGACACAGCGTTACAGACTGAATCAACCAATGAAATTAGAGAACATGTAATTTACAGTGAAAATAAACAAGAGTAAACAAAGTACATCTTATAACACTAGATGGCAGCACTAATACAGGCTTGTTCAATAATATGTAAATATGATAAATGTTTCAGGTGCAACAATTAAACTGTTTGTCGAATGTATACTGAAGATAGCACGTGTGTTAAGGAAGATACTTAAACAAGATCTGTTGTGTGTTAAGGCTTGTGAGCATCTCAACCTTTCTTAAAAGAAAGTTGGTTAGTAAATATGCATATGACTCTGAAATACCTGTTATATAGGTATTGAAGCTAGTTTTTGATACTTGTAAGCATTATTATTAGCAAGTGAAAGAAACATAAAAAATAAAGAAATTAGGTTTTTGGAAATAATTCACCTTAAATAACTTTTTTGGTGATGTTTCAAACAAATGCTGTTTTTTTGAGCCTAAAACTTAGCAAGCTTTCTTATTGGGGAATAGAAGAATATTTAAGATGACTTATCTCCAACAGCCTAGTCTCTGTTGCTTAATTAATGTACATGACACCAGTTGTCATGAAGAAACTTCCTAACTATGAGATTACATTTTCTTATTTTATTAAACTTTTTTCAAGACATTTGTGAAACTGAGGTTTGATTAAGTTTTTGTTATAATTTTTTATGTTCGAGAATTTTTCTATAATTAGTGAAAAGTGACAGTTTAAAATTTATTTTTTATATCATTTTTCTATAAAGTTTAAATTTTCTTTATATGGTCAAATGCATTTGATAATTTTGTAGTAATAGTGAAAGGATTATGTGTTGTTGAACCACAAGTTGACATCTTGTTTAAGGGTATTGGCCATCCTGGAAAACGTACTCTTTAAGAAGATACTTATACCTACCAGCATTGAGGGAATCATCAGTATAATTAATGTTTAGGCAGTTGTGGTGGCATAATCCACCAAAATGTTTGCTGTACTATATGTGTAATAAATAGGAAAGACATGAAATTATGTTATAAAAAGTAACATATCAAACATGGAGACCCAAAGGATCTCATAAAGTCAGAGGGGGCTGGGTGTAGCTAACATGAATTGAGTGTTCAGAGTTCGTGTCACTTTGCTGGAGAGTGCATCCTTACTTTGGTGCTGTGGGTATAAGAGCCAATGTTTCATCAGGTGAGTAGCCCAAGAATTGGCGATGGGTACTGTTGACTAGCTACTCTCCCTCTAGTCTATCAGTTCAAAATTAGCGATGGTTACACACAGATAACCCACGTGTAGCCTTGCATGAACATTCAAAACAATCAATCTGTGTGCTTGAGAAGCATCGAGTAAAAATAAATAAATTTACATGTTCACGAGGGACTTGAGGAGTCACTGAGATTCTGTTAAAAATTAGGAATCTTAATAATTTTGTTCATATCTATAATGTCATTCATTTATAAACAATGATATAGATCATTGTTATTTCAGTTATAACAATGTTGGTTGTTATAACTTAAATAGACAGATGAAAAATGTATATAAAAAAACAACTGTGAAGTCGATCACTGCAGGCACTGCTTTTATTTATACAAATAAATTAGTATTTTCTTGTTTCAGTTTCTACTTGTGGTGGAAAATAAGTACACTCGTCTGACATTACCATGATCTTGAAATGTTTCAGTTGTGTATTTTCAATGTACACTGTGTTATTTGTATCTAATCAAATACCATTGCAAATAAAACTTTTGTTTCTTACACGGGCTTAGTGGGCTCTTTTTTTTGTTTAATGGGGAGTCATTCAAACAATCAATTTATGGAACAGGAGGTATATTACATCAACTCATTCACTGCCCTGTTTGCATTTTAACAACCCTCACAGTGTCAGTTTTACACATAAACAACCCTCCCAGTGTTGGGTGTATAGATAAACAACCCTCCCAGTCTCAGGTTTATAGATAAACAACCCTCTCAGTGTTGGGTGTATAGATAAACAACCCTCTCAATCTCAGGTTTATAGATAAACAACCCTAAAACTGTCAGGTTTATAGATAAACAATGCTCAGAGTATCTGTTTAGAAACAAACAACCCCCAAAGTATCAGATTTACAAATAATAAATAATCCTCCGAAGTGTCAGGTGTATAGATAAACAACCCCCAAAGTGTCAGGTTTACATATGAATAACTCTCCGAGTGTTAGGTGCATGGATAAACAACCCTCTCAGTGTTGGGTGTATAGATAAACAACCCTCCCTGTGTTAGGTTTATAGATAAACAACCATCCCAGCATCAGGTTTATAGATAAATAACCCTCACAGTGCCAGATTTTTAGATAATCAACCCTGAAAGTATCAGGTATACATATAAAGAAACCTCACAGTGTCAGGTTTAGAGATAAACAACCCTCAAAGTGTCTGTTTAGAGATAACCATACCAGCATCAGATTTATAGATAAACAACACTCACAGTGTGATTGTATAGATAAATAACCCTCACAGTGTCAAGTTTATAGATAAACAACCCTCCCAGTGTCAGGTTTAGAGATAAACAACCCTCAAAGTGTCTGTTTAGAGATAACCATACCAGCATCAGATTTATAGATAAACAACACTCACAGTGTGATGGTATAGATAAATAACCCTCACAGTGTAAAGTTTATAGATAAACAACCCTCCCAGTGTCAGGTGTATAGATAAATAACCCTCAAAGTGTCAGGTTTACATATAAATAACCCTCCCAATGCCAGGTTTTCAGATAAACAACCCCAAAGTATCAGGTTTACATATAATAGATAATCCTCCCAAGTGTCGGGTGTGTAGATAAACAACCCTCACAGTGTCTGTTTAGAGATAAGCAACCTTCCCAGTGACAAGTTTAGAGATAAACAATCTTCACAGTGTCAGGTTTACATATAAATAACCCTCCCAGTTTCAGTTTATAGATAAACAACCTTTAAAGTGTCAGGTTTAGAGATAAACAACCCTCCCAGTTCCAGGTTTATAAATAAATAGCCCTCAAGGTGTCAGGTTTACATATAAATAATCTTCACAGTGTCAGGTCCATAGATAAACAACCCTCCCAGTGTTAGGTTGATAGATAAACAACCCTCAAAGTATCAGGTTTACATATAATAAATAATCCTCCAAAGTGTCAGGTGTATAAATAACCCTCACAGTGTCAGGTTTAAAGAAAAACAACCCTCCCAGTGTCAGGTTTACATATAAATAACTTTCCCTGTGTCAGGTTTATAGATAAACAACTTTAGCAGTGCTAGGTTTATAGATAATTCACTCAGCGTCAAATTCATAGATAAAGAATCCTTACATTATCAGGTTTATAGACAAACAACTCTCCCAGTGTTGGAAGTTTCATGTTACGTGGTGGGCGTGGCTTAAACCAGAATCTTCTTGAGAGTTTAGGAAATAATGTAAGTCATATGAGGATTATTATGAATTTGGTAAAGTGAGTTATTGTATGAGCAAGTTTGATAATCAATTGATGAGTAATCAGTGCATGAGTTAATAAATTTATCCAAGTAGTTAGTCCTTGAGTAATTATGCTAATATAATAATAGGAAGACAAACAATGATTTATAAACATAAAGAAAAGTTTTATTAGTGGAGAAACATACTACATGTTTCGACAAAACGTTGGTCTGTCTGTTTCAGTTATCTAAGGTGCTTGTTTCGCAATCTGAGGATCGCGGGTTCGAACGTGGCCGTCCTTTCAGCCGAAGGGACGTTATAATGTGATGGTCAATCCCACATTTCGTTTGTAAATAAGTATCCCAAGAGTTAGCGGTGGGTGGTAATGACTAGTCTTTTCCTTCTAGTCTTTCCCTGCTAAATTAGGGATGGCTAGCGTAGACAGCCTTCGTATAGCTTTGAGCTTCAGGTATCTGACAATTACAAAAATTTTTTATTAAGAATGCACCGCTGTATTGCCAAGGTAAAAATGTCGGTTTTCGTTATTCCGTGGTCCAGATTGGCCCATCATTTTATCAGTAATCGAACGTGGTATTCTATTGAGTGTTTCTCCTCCTTCCCAGCAAGGTATTAACAAAATTATGTACTATCTATTGGGTTTCTGAGTCCGTTTTATTTGACCATATAGTAACAGCTAGTGACGCAAGGTCAAGAGATTGCTGTTGACCGACAAGCTTACTCGTTGGGTTGAAATTTATTGAATTACTACGAACATTCTGAGGACCTGATATATGCACGTGCGATCCCTGGAACTCGGGTTTCCTGTCTAGGTTTGGGTTGGACCGAGGAGGCTTCATGGGGTCTTCTCGTGCTAATAGTGCCTCAATACGAAAGGACTTACTGGCGTTGACGGACTGTGGTACGTTCTTTCGGTCTCCACGCATGTCTATCTCAGAGTTAACTGACATCAGGCAATGTTAAACCAGACAAACCATCTAAATACTGCTAGTTACGAGCTAGAGACCACCTGTATCAGAGTTAACTGACGCCCGTAACTAGCAGTATTTAGAATGGTTTGTGTGGCTAGACATTGTCTGATTAGAGACCACCTGTATCAGAGTTAACTGACAGCAGACAATGTCCAGCCACACAAACCATTCTAAATACTGCTAGTTACGGGCTAGAGACCGCCTGTATCACATTTGAATTACTTTATTTAATTATAAACACTCCAATAGGTCGCGTTTTTAACACTATGGATTACAAAACAAAAAAAAAACTGACAAAACAGTGATTAATTTTTAGAATAAAAGTTAGGTGTTGACGGACCGTAAAGTTTGATTGTTTTAGAGCAGAACCACTTTGGATTATCTGCTGTGTCCACCGCAGGAAAACGAACTCGAATTTTAGCGTGTAGGTCCGTCGACTTACCGATGTCCCACCGGGAGGCCGGAAGGGAAGGAATATTGAGTTTCGTAAACTGAATGTTCGGTAAAGTATAGATCAAATGGATAATCAATTAACCATCTGTAACTATGGTTACTTCAGCTGGACATGATACCAGTGTCTTCATGTAACTATGGTTACTTCAGCTGGACATGATACCAGTGTCTTCAGGTAACTAGGGTTACTTCAGCTGGACATGATACCAGTGCCTTCATGTAACCAGGGTTTCTTCAGCTGGACATGATACCAGTGTCTTCATGTAATTAGGGTTACTTCAGCTGGACATGATACCAGTGTCTTCATGTAACTAGGGTTTCTTCAGCTGGACATGATACCAGTGTCTTCCTGTAACTATGGTTACTTCAGCTGGACATGATACCAGTGTCTTCATGTAACTATGGTTACTTCAGCTGGACATGATACCAGTGTCTTCATGTAACTAGGGTTACTTCAGCTGGACATGATACCAGTGCCTTCATGTAACCAGGGTTTCTTCAGCTGGACATGATACCAGTGTCTTCATGTAATTAGGGTTACTTCAGCTGGACATGATACCAGTGTCTTCCTGTAACTAGGGTTACTTCAGCTGGACATGATACCAGTGTCTTCATGTAACTATGGTTACTTCAGCTGGGCAATGATACCAGTGTCTTCATGTAACTATGGTTACTTCAGCTGGGCAATGATACCAGTGTCTTCCTGTAACTAGGGTTACTTCAGCTGGACATGATACCAGTGTCTTCATGTAACTATGGTTACTTCAGCTGGACATGATACCAGTGCCTTCATGTAACTAGGGTTACTTCAGCTAGACATGATACCAGTGCCTTCATATATATACAATTATACCATAAAAATACAATGTATCCAATGTATCACCAAAAACATAAACAGTTGTAATATTGCCTGGTGGTTCTAATTGATATCTAACTGATACATATAAAATTAGTTCTTTCCATCCTAGAAAATGTGATGTTAGAAATGTTTGTTTTATTTGTAAACTCTTAAATAGAAAAGATAAAATTGTTTTCATAACTAGCTTTCTAGATGTTACAGAATCAATGGAATATTTCAGTAACAAATAAGGTAAAATGTAAAGTTATCGGTTTGTCATAATCTTATACATCTTTTAATTTAGAAACTAGGCAGGAAATATTAAAACTTTTGTGCAAAAACGTGTAATACACACAACTCTCAATAACAATACACAAACTGGGCTTATGACGTGAAACTCCGATCAGCATCCTTTTCACACATTACAATCTTTGGACAATGTGCCAAAAAACACCAACTACTGACATCTTGTCTATTGATGGTCACCATGTCTTGTGCTACTTCATCAGTTACTGGTCCGAAGAATACACAACATCTCATCTATTGGTGGTCACCGTGTCTTGTCCTACTTCATCAGTTACTGATCCAAAGAATACACAACATCTCGTCTATTGATGGTCACCATGTCTTGTCCTACTTCATCAGTTACTGGTCCAAAGAATACACAACATCTCGTCTATTGATGGTCACTGTGTCTTGTCCTACTTCATCAGTTACTGGTCCGAAGAATACATAATATCTCCTCTATTGATGGTCATCGTGTCTTGTCCTACTTCATCAGTTACTGGTCCGAAGAATACACAACATCTCGTCTATTGATGGTCACCATGTCTTGTCCTACTTCATCAGTTACTGGTCCAAAGAATACACAACATCTCATCTATTGATGGTCACCGTGTCTTGTCCTACCTCATCAGTTACTGGTCCAAAGAATACACAACATCTCATCTATTGATGGTCACCGTGTCTTGTCCTACTTCATCAGTTACTGGTCCAAAGAATACACAACATCTCGTCTATTGATGGTCACCGTGTCTTGTCCTACTTCATCAGTTACTGGTCCGAAGAATACACAACATCTCGTCTATTGATGGTCACCGTGTCTTGTCCTACTTCATCAGTTACTGGTCCGAAGAATACA